GAGAGAGAGAGAGAGAGAGAGAGAGAGAGAGAGAGAGAGAGAGAGAATGCCTAACTTCTTCCTACAATCAAGGATTCTTCTATTTTAAGGAGTGTGCTTGCTTTTTAAAATAGTGCAGATGCTTCTTGGTTTGTGATGCTGTTGTATCTTGATAACCTCATCATAGGTTCAAAATATCATGAGTCAAATAGCTTACCAAAAGCCTTTGTTTAATAACACAGCAACTTGTTACTGTACAGCTCGGGGCTGTGGTTTGTGGCTAAGGCTCAGGATCCAGAGAGAAACTCTCATTGTACACTGGCCAGCCTCAGAAAGACCAAGATAAAAAATTTGCAGTGTGGTTTGTACTGAGAGAACCTCACTTTCACCCTGTTACGCAGTCAAAAATCATTAAGTCAGCCTATTCTAACACAGCAACTATCCAGTGGTGTTGGTATGACATTTAAAACAGTCTTCTAAATTGTCTCTAAAAGTAGTATAACTCTCATTTACCACGTAGCCATGAGAAATTAAACCATGCAAAAGAAACTCCTAGACTCTGAGACCCTTGGTACCACTCTGTTTTCTGTGATAAAGATTTTTAATTGTTATTATCTTTAAATATTGACTTCTACTTTTCTCACTAAATATTATATCAAAGAACATTTTGGCTTTTATGCTATTTCCATGACTTTATTTTTAAAGAGTCACAAATGGCTCAGAGTTCAATTCCCAGCTTCCACATGGCCACTCTCTGTCTCGCTGCTCCAGTTTCAGGGCATCCGATGCTGTCTTATGGCCTTTACAGGCTCCTCCATGCACATGATGTACACACATTTACTCAGGGACACACACATACATACAAAACTTTAAAAAATATTCAAAATACATTAACAAAAAAATCACAAATATTTCTGAATATGTATACGTTAGCATTTCCTTACCCATTGCTTTTGTTTATCCTTACACTGGTATGATCCGTTATCAGTAGACAGGTGGGAAGGCTGAAGCTGGCAAAAAAGCTAAAGTAAGAGAAATTCAAAGAATTGGGCCGGCATGTTTGTGGGGCAGCCTGCAGGAACCTATAGATTTGTTTTTGTTTTTGCTTTTTTAAGATTTTATTCATTAATTTATTTTATTTTATGCATGTGAGTACATTGTAGCTGTCTTCAGACACACCAGAAGAGGGCATCAGATCCCATTACAGATGGTTGTGAGCCCCCATGTGGTTGCTGGGAATTGAACTCAGGAACTCTGGAAGAGCAGTTGGTGCTCTTAACCTCTGAGCCATCTCTCCAGCTGGGAACCTATAGTTTTTCAGAAAGTGTCAAAGTTGTTACAAATCTCTTTGAATGACTCTTAGACGAAAATAAAGGAAAATGTTGGAGAAAGTGTTCTCTAGCCATTCCTTAGCCTAGTTACAGTCGGGAGGCATATTTCTAAATGTCCTTAGATGCTGACAGGGAGGTGGGACCATCAGCCAGCAGATGGGGGCCATCTTAGCCTCCATTACTTCTATCCATCAAACACTAGAAAAGAAGCTGGCAGAGGGTGGCTTAGAAGAGAATGCTAAGACTTAGTGGTTTTGCAGCAAAGGGTGCTGGGCAACTGCAAGGCACAGCATGAAAGTGGTGGCCTACAGGACAGGACAATTCTACATGGACCTCCAAGTGCCAAATGGAGCATTTGAGTCCAAAAAGAATGTCAAAGTTTTGTCAACAACGCTGGCAAGAAAGTCCCCAGAACGTCAGACTCTCCTTAATTTAGAACATATGACAATCCTCCAAACATCTACCTTAGAAACTCACTAAGTCACCATCTCCTTGATGTCATTGGAGTGATGAGGGTCTGTTCCTTCATTAAGTAGGAACAACTCCTGATTTTACGTCTTTGAAATTGACTGTTCTTTCATCTATTGCGTTCAGCCTTAAACCTTAAAGCTGTAAGTTAGGCATCCGATGCCTATTTTAAAGAAAAAGAAAAACATTTTATTATAAAAATTGTGTAGATTCACAGCAGAAAACAAAAACTATAATCAAAAGCGAAATGCTCCAAGTGTCTGTAGCTTTCAAATGGACTGCCATCACTCAGGGCAAGACTTGGGACAAGGCAAGCAAATGCCTAGTTCTGGTTTTAGGGTTCATATGTCTGTTCGTTTTCTAACTCTTTATATATTCTTTGAGAATTTCACACATGCAAATAGTATATTTTGACGTTATCCACCCCAACCTCTAGCTCCTTGCAGATCCTGTCCATGACCCCAACCAAACTTCACATTCTTTCTTTTTTTAATAAATAGTCCACTGAGTCACTAAGTGCCACCCATACACTCATGGGTATGGTCCATCCCTGAAGGAGTGGTCAACCTGCCAGAGACCACCCCACTAAGAACACTGACTCTCCCTCTTCTGCTAGGGGTGGGAGTGGGGTATCATGTGTTCCTCCCCCATAAGATCTTGTTAGCATACGGCTTTGGCATTGATTTGAGGGTTGGGGGTGCCCAGTGTTTATAAAATGTTTTAGCTATCTTGATTATTGAGTCTGTAGTAATCCTCTCACTGGTTTCCCCCACCCTTGTTTGTGACTATGTCACTTTAACAGCAGTAAATATAGTCTTCGCCTAATTTATCAAGAACATCTCCCTTCTATGATCATATCTCATGAAGCAGACATCAGGAGGTCAAGTATAGCACATTCTCTAACAAGGGAAGAAAATACATGAAACTGAAACATCTCGGAAATACAGAGCCACTGGTCTTAGGTGCACTTCTCTATCCTCTTCTTAGAGGCACATAATGGAGACATCACTTTAAGTTACTACAGCACCAACTTGTTCACAGACAAGAAGCCTTCAAAGCAGTTTCATCCTAAAACAAACATAAAATCCCTAAGCACAGATGGAGGCAGAGCCCAATTCCCTGACTGTCAGAGCTCCTCCGTCTAGGTGGAAGGCCTAAGAGTGATGGAGAAAGGCCTTCTCTTTCCTCATAGAGACTTGTCTTAGCTACACCTATTCATTTTTACTTATGTGCATGTGTCTGTAGAGGGTATACCACATATGTGTGTGCTCACAAAGAGGGCATCAGATCTCCTGGAGCTGCTGTTACAGGCAGCTACAAACCACACAACCTGGGAACCAAACACAGGTCCTCTGGAAGAACAACAAGCACTTTTAACTGCTAAACCATCCCTCTTTCTCATTAGTTAAACTTAAGAGGTGATCACCACAAAGTGAACTCTTCTTACAGGCAGGACATTAAGTTAGGGAACAGAGCATGAACAGTAACTACAGAAAACTTGTGGGCATAGGAGAGCATAAAAGGGAACGTAATATAATTGTCTTTATTTGCCTATAATTGCCCCACCCTACAACCAACACTAACCCACCGGACCTCCCTACCTCCCTTCATCATTTACTGCAGGTGTTTAACCTCTGAAATTGCTATAATCTGATAGAGGTTTCTCTTCTGTTTTACTCTGTGGTGTTGTTTCACTGAGAACATTCTCTGTGCCATTAAATATTTATCTTTCAAAAGTATGATCTTAAGATAGATCTCTTTTGTGCCACACGATATATAATAATATTTCTAACAAGCTCCCTGTTGTAGGTGGGGATGTAACTCAGTAGTAGAGCATTTGCACAACAAGCCAAAGCCTCCAGGTTCATGCCCAACACTACAAAACCAAACAACCCCCTACTGTAAAACATAAAGCTTGCCGCCAACTGCTTTTGTGCGGCCCTGTGTAGCTCAGGTCACCCTAATCCCAATTGAATGTCCACATCAGTGGTGAGCACAGTATCCTAGAGCTTTGAAGTCTGTTCCTACAGGTGAAACCTGATCATTTGGGAAGGAGAATATTTTTCTATTTATTCTTTGAGGATTTCATACATTATGTAATGTATTTTGACCATATTCACCCACTGGAATGTGGTCAACCTATCTAGAGGTCATACCTCTAAAGAAACCTGGCCCTCCTTCCCTTAGCAGCCATCACTGCTCAATGCCTCAGCCAGGGAGGAGCTGATGGGCTCCTGCATCCTGCCGGAAAGTTGACAGGCTTGGCTTTCTGCAGTCCCAACTGTCACAGGTGGAGGTCCTGCTGTGTCCAGAAGACATTGCTCCATCCCAGTCCTCCTTGGACAAGGTCTCTCAGTCTTTCCTCTTCCATAATGTTTCCTGAGCCTCGTTTACATAGAGGATATTCAAGAAGTCTAATAATTTATGGCTTGTTTTCTTAGCCTCAGTGGGCATCAAACCTGTTTTAGGAAACCCAACCTATGGAAACAAACACACCAAAACTTGTTAAAATCCTCAGCCTAAACTGGGCAGTGGTGACAAATGCCTTTAATCCTAGCACTTGGGCGGCAGAGACCTCTGTGAGTTTGAGGCCTGCCTGGTCTACAAGTTCCAGAACAGCCAGGGCTACACAGAAAAACTCTGTCTTGGAAAAAAGAAAAAAAAAAGAATATTCAGCCTATACATTGGCCTCTTACCTTTTTGTCTAATGAGAGGTTGAATCATAAGTACTCTTGAAGAAAAAACATACTTCATATTATATACCATGTATTCCCATTATGTGATTAACGATGACATACCAATAGGAAATGGTGGTGCACTCCTTATCCCAGGACTTGGGAGGCAGAGGCAAACAGATCTCTGGAAGTTCAAGGCCAGCTTGGTCTACAGATCAAGTTCCAGGACAGCCAGGGCTACAAAGTGAAACCTGTTTCGAAAAACCAAAATTATTAAAAATAATAATAATAATAAAAAGAATGGCATAACAGCATCAACCTGTGGTCTCCACATGTAACCCACACAAACAATTGCACACTCATGCACATGTGTACACACACACATACCCAGAAACTGAGGGTTGGAGAAAGAAAGTAACAGTCTACAAGTCTCAGTGCTCAGTAGTAATGTTGGACATACTTAAGTGTCGTCTATACAAATACGTGAAGTTATTTAATAAAAATATATGCCCTATTTTTATATCAAGAATATCATCGCCTATCCTAGCTGAGTATGAGTGTTCTCCAACCACACCATAGATGAGTCAGCCTGCCTCTCCATTTCAGGCCTATCTTGACAAGTATTACACAAAGAAAGGAGGCCCCCAGGCTGGCGAGATGGTGGCAAGAGGAAGCAACCCCATGGTCAGAAAGATTAAGGAGCTACAAATGTTCTTTGGCCTCAAAGTCACTGGGAAGTTGGACCAGAATACAATGGATGTGATCAAGAAGCCCCGCTGTGGAGTTCCTGATGTGGCTAACTACCGCCTCTTCCCAGGTGAACCCAAATGGAAAAAAAATATTTTGACATACAGGTAATGAGACTGCATCTTTCCCAATTCAAAGAGAAGGACACAACCTGTCCTCTTCTGTCCACAATTTCTTTCTTTTGATCTGTAGGAAAGGCAAAATCCTCTACAGCCATAAGAAAGAATAGCAACTCTCTAGATCTTAGTTGAAACCTCTAATCCCAGGATAACTGTCACTTTACCCATTACAGGTCTGACTATCCGGGAACAACTCAGTGATAGTTTAAAGTGAACTAGCCTAGGTAGCATTGAGAACCTTTTAATCTGCCCAGCTGAGCTAGACTAATCAGCCAGCTCAAGTCAATGAGAGACCATCTCAGAAAAACAAGATGGATGTCTCCTGAGAAACAACAGGCGAGTGTTCATATGGGTGCACACACATATACACACACACACACACACACACACAGAGAGAGAGAGAGAGAGAGAGAGAGAGAGAGAGAGAGAGAGGATTCCACTAATCATTTGCTGGTGGTCTTGGCTATAATAGGCACTCAGTTTGTGGAGTATAAGGGTGAGTAGCTTCTCTTTCTTTCTGGTCTTTAAGGGGAGATAGACATGTAATCAGGGGGAGAAAGTGGCCTCAGAACAGGATCTGAGGCAGCAGTGGAAAGGGCTATCAACTTGCCTAGTCATAGAACCTGACCCTGATTTAAAGGTAGTCACAGCCTCAAGCTGTGGTTGGAGGTCCTGGCACTGCTTCATTTTCTTCATCTTCCAGTTTAGGTCAATGTTCCTGTCCAATGGGAATTTTTGTCCTTCCTCCTTGGGTTCTGGGTATTGACAGCCAATTTCCCACTCTGGCTTCCTTGTTCCACCTTCCAGGGTTCATTCACAGGTTAGCCAGTCTACATACATCACCAAGGTGTCTACTCCTCAGCCTCAGTGGGTTTAAAGAAGGTGGGTGAGGCTGTCATGTTCCAGCCTCACATAGACTTAGTAAGTGTAGCTTTGGGTGGTTCTATGCTAGAGTTTTGTAAAAGTTAGGTCATATCCAAGCAGAAACCCCACCAACCAAGCTGAGTTTTGGGGCTATCATGTTGGGTGACACTTGTCTCCCAACACCCCAGTACACTACTGAAACTGGAGTGGAGGACACAGCAATGGGAAGGGTAGCACCTGGGGCTGGGGAGGCAGCCTGAGCAGTGAGAACCAGCTATTGAGAAAGTCAGAATCTGAACAGGTTACCTTTCCAAGATCTCCACATCTGCATGGCATGTGGACATGAGGAAGGGCTGGGCTTGAGCCAGGCAGTGGTGGTGCACACCTT